GATTAAAGCCATTTTTTTTGTTTGGAAAGGGGTTGGCATTGGAGTAAGCACAGACCATTGCGCCAAAGTGATGGAACAATACATCCTTTTGTTCTCATCTCATGAGCTTCTCGGGCTTCCTGACTTTTTGCGTGGGGTACGTATCGTCGGAAAGGGCGGTGGGAAGAGGACAGGAATAGCGTCTACTAATCTAACAAGCCCAGTCCTCGTCGGCCTCGGCACGTCCCGGACGATAGCCAAAAACATGACCCCCAATAGGGACATGCTGGGTGATTGCGGGAGTGGTCAATCTCAAGGAAACTAACAGGTGTGCAAAAATATTCCGACAGCCAGCTTCGCTCTGTGGCGGACCGCCGCCAAAACACAATCTGGATGGAGTCTGGCGGCCCATAGGATGTGACGGCCATTTTGCGGGACGAATCATAGCCAAAATGTGGGGGCACCCTGTTTCTTCATCGGGCTCTGCTAGACCAGACACCAGGCGTCGCCTATGAACAAGCTCCGAGATCGCCTTGGCTACCTTTGAAAACATGGTCTCTGAAGCGCTCCTGAATGGTTACATATGCTGTTAGCACCAGGTCAGCCCATGTTACCCAGCAGTAAACTTAGCTGTTATTGGATGCGATTAGCAAGCTTCGATCGCAGGCTACCTGCCAACCAGCCGTCAACCTAAGGAGGCCGCGCATACATGACAGAGATCCTTGACACGTTTTGGCGCGCAGTCCTTTACCTCGACCTCTCAATTCTTCATACTCTTGCCTTGTCAGCGCGTGTGCTACTGAACGCTCCAAGATTTTTATCCGGCGGACAAGATATGTCGGAAAGGGACTTTCGACCTCTAGAGCGGAGCCGTCTTCGTCGAGAAGACAGAGCTTGTTAGTTCGGGAAACGGTGTGTTGGCCGTGAAGACGTTGCGTAAGTGACCACGCGACAGGCTCAATTTAATCTCGGCCGTTAGATTAAAGCTAGAAGAATGGAGCAAACCTGTTCGCTTCGCTCCAACTTGCCCGCAGTCCATGACCAATCCTTTGCTTCCTGAACCCATGCGCGCAATCGTAGTTCATCCAAAGATGTCCAACGGCGGCGCTGAGGCCTTTTCCGCTTTTGCTCAGGAACGTCAGAGCTGTCACCACCATCCAAATCCATACTTTCCGAATCGCTGTCGCTATCTTCTCCACAGTTGTCCTCTGAGCTATCGCCATTCTCGACAGTCCTAGAATTTGACAGCCCGGCAGTTCCCTCCCACTTCTTGGTTTACGCTGGCACAGAAACGGCTGTCTCCCGTGCTTGCTGATTTGTGTGTAGCTTACTGTCGCCGTAGATGTTCTGCAGAAAAGCCACGGGTTTGACATGCGGCCGATGATGTGTTCGTATTGGTAGCGACAGGAGAAACTCGTCCCGGCCTTCAGGGCCCAGGTATCCCCGAGGAGTGGTTGGGGTGAGGTGAATCCATCCCAGCTGTACTTGGCGATTGCACTCGTCGTGTTCCTGTCCGCTTCCCTCCTCTTGGGTCATTTTCCGCGTCTAGCGCATGTAGTGCTGCGGGGCGCCATCTTCAAAACCGATGGAGCTAGCTACGTGAGACCGTAGCTGTAGTCTAGATGAGAGCTGGAGCTGTCTGTCGCACTGTATCGTGAGGGGAGTTTTGTCTGGCTTTCTACAAGACTCAAGATGGTAGTGCGCGCAGAGTCCTAGCTGGGAAAGCTTGTGATGTTGTCCCACTATCGACATACCGTAGCCTCTTTCGTCTAGGCAAACGACCATCACGACTCTTGTGGCAATCTTCAAGTGCCTCGTGACTCCGCTTCGTCCGGTCAGAGCCTGGCTTGTCGGCGGATTAGTTTGCTTGTTCCTGGTCATAGTAAAGCAGCGAGCTTCAGAGCGATATATTGTTTCGAAGGAGATGAGACCATTGCGCCAAATGGATAGGAAAACCCAGCGAATCATTTTTTGTGAGGAGAATCTTAGTCATTCCGACCTTTTGCGTGGGCAGGTATCGGTGGAAAGAGGAAGAGTCCTGCCGTGTGCCCAAGTTACCAAGCAAGCCCAGGCCTCCTGGGCCCTTTGACAGCCCAAGACAGCGTAAATCAGTCCACAACAGACGGGGTCCTAGCCAGCCCTAAGCTAAGAGATTGCGGGAGTAATCACAGGGGATCGACATGCTGTCAATAACCACAGGTGTGCAGTCCAACAGCCAGCTTCGTTCTAAGGCACACCGGCGTCAAAACAGAATGTGGATGGAAGCTGCCAAACGACAGGTACATGTCCCTGTGCCACGTGCCGGCGGCCCCGTTGTGGGGCGAGCCAAAGCCGAAACGTGGGGGCGGACACCCTGTTTCTCCGTCGGGCTGTGCCAGGGGTTCCTGGCTGGGCCACCTCTGTATACATGAGCAGTGGGGCCGCCCCTAAATGGATACACATACCGTCAGCACCCTTCTGACTTGCTCCTGTGGGCCCCGCACACCCGCCAGTCCTTGGAGCCCGCGCTTACATGATAGAGGTCTTTCGACCCGCCAGCTGTCCCTCACGTCGATTCTTCATCCGCGTGAGTGCCATGAAATGCTACGAGATACTCATCCGGCGGACAAGATGTGTCAGGAAGGGAGTTTCGGCCTGTTGAACGAAGCCGACTTCGCTGAGAAGAAAGCGCCTGTTAGTTCGGGATAGGTTCTCACAGCACCGGACATCTGTGGTCTCGACTGTGCACCAGCCACCGCGCTGCGCACGCCTTTAAATTAATACCGGACAGCGAGGTACGGAAAGTGCGCACGAACCAGGAGGAGACAGGAATCCCGTCCTGGCCCGTGCACGACACCACGTAATGGCTAAGAGGATCATCTTATTTGTGTCGGTGTCGAATGTGATGAGGATATGGGGTGAGCTTGTGTCGAAGGTGTGGAGGGGAGAGAGATATTGGGTTCTTGCTGTGCCTGTTCTTCGAGCGAAGTGTTTTCGACGCTGTTGAGTTGAACGCTGGCGAAGCGTTAACAAGCGCGCTACGTGGCAGAAAGACTATGATCCTCGAGGCGATTATGCGCAGGTCCCGACGAGATGAACCTTGAGTCAGATCCAATATCCAAGATCGTGGTGAGCTGCAAACATTGGAAGAGCAAACGAAGGACCAGAGCGTCAAGCGGACCAAAAAAAATAAAGCAGCAGCAAGATGCCTTTACCACCTTACTCGCTCATCTCGCATGCGGTGTGCCATGGTCAGTGCGTTCGTTCCATCTTCACCGGAGAAAACAAAGAGGCGGAACGGAGCCCGAGACTTTATGGCCCAAAGCTTTGGTGACTGCGGCGGGCGCTCGATCTCGTCCAAGCTGTCATACTGCTGTCGTGCCAAGTTGCCTATGCTTTGTAGTGCCACTTGCTTATGTTGAAACTTGGTGAACAGCCATTCCATCACGTCTTCTCGGAGACTTGAGGCGTGGACGCAAGAAAGCCAGCAGCGTGATCCATTCAATGTGATGCACGAGTGGTTATTGGATTAGACAAGATGCTGGTAACAATTCCTCAATATTGTGTGCGGCTGGCCAAAACAAAAAAAGGCCCAACCCCAGCTTCCGCCGTTCTTGAATCCGTTCGAAAACCGTGGTCCACTCCACAACGAAACGTCTTGATGAGTCCAGAACAATTGAAACCCAGCACCATCCCTACATGCCTTAGTTCTAGCACAACATGCAAAGATTGAAACATGTCCAAAATTGTATCCAATCTAGGTCCACCTGAGTCGAGTGTGGCATCGGACAAGCTGGCGAGCCGGGCGTCTAATATCTGCGTTCCGGTTACTCGGTCAATGCATGTGTCTGGTCATCCGCGTCCGGCGCGTCAGGTTCACTATCCAAAGATGCAGACTTTCGTGACTTCCCCTCAGGCTCTGAGAGCCTGGGTATGACAACGACATCCTCCGGACATAGACGTATTCGTTCTCGTTGTGACGATGGAGTTGAGCGTGTTCTCCATTCAAGCCTGGCATGAGTGAGGCCTTCTGAGGACACGCTCTTCGTACCTTCGGGGCCAAAAGGATCGTGGAATTGCGAGACTTGGTCATAGGCATCGGCGAGGCGTGACTCGAGTCTCGGTCGTCGTGAGCCATGAAAGGCCCCGCTTTCGGGAAACGGATTTGCGACCGCTTGATGGGTTGGGAGGGCGCTCGCGATGCCAACAGAGCCGCTGTTTCCACACATTTTTTGATCTTGTCTTCATTCAAGCCAAGTGTCTCCTCCAACCTCTCCACCACAAGGTCAGGGTGGTCGAGAATGATTTCATCTTTATCATCGTCGCTGCTGCTATCCACATCAGACGAGCTGCCCGCACTTCGAAGACGAACGTCGTAGAAATCGGCCAGATACGTCAGCATAAGCCGATGCCAATTAGTCTCGGGGTTCCTCAGAGCATAAAACTCATTTGCGTTTCGAGGAAACTGTGCCAAGTTCGGTTCGAGAATGCCGTGTCCAGGGCGGTATATGGCGAGAGGGTGGATGGGGAAGGTCGGGTTCTTTAGGGCTCTATTTCGCATATAGGCTTGAGACTGGCGAATCCCTGCGTCGAGGCGCTAAGTCTGGTCTTCCAGCCGCCCGAGGCGGCGATTCTGAATGGCAACATCGTCTCTAAGATCCTTGATATCGGTTCTCAGCTCTGTTTTGACATTATCGATGGAATGACGGATCGATGTGAAGTCGGCGTTGAGCTGCTCGTCTTGGGAATTTCGCAAATGAATTTAATCGTCGCGACAGAGGCAATGATGCCTGGGCTTGTCGAGTAGAAAAGAACAAGAAGGCGACGCTGCCATCGGCAGGTGATGATTGTCGTGGTAGAAGTAACCATGTGAGCTGATCGGACGGGTTCGGGTCACGGACAATCACATATGCATAACTGCAAACCAGATGGGATGTTGGTAGATCATAAATAATCGACCGAGGAGTGGCAGGGGCCCTAGCAATGTTTCGATTGGTTGACTTTCGTGACTATCGATGGTTCTTAGCCAGTCAAGCCGGGAAGAGTGGGCTCTTCTGCCACTTATCTCCATCAATCGCGGCCGGGGGTAAGGCGCAATAACTGCTTGGTTCTCAGCGACATGTATTGCAGATGATGGGATTGAAATTGCATAGGACGCCTTGCAGCAATGCTGCATATGTTCATTTTGCTTTCGCACCTGTGATGCAGTGCAGGCAGAGAACAAGTTCATTTAGAACATGGTCTTTCACACATTGAATCTGGTCGCGGCGCCGCTACTGCCACAAGCCAACAAGACTCCAGTGCGGACAGGGTCGCCTGAAGGCGTTACACGGGGGAGACCCTCAGCACTCTGTGTATAAACTGCACCCTGTGGCAACTCAGACACGTCCCGACGCGATTGTCCTGGAGCTAGATCCGATGTCCCATCACCGTCGCGGGAGAGTCGACAGAAGTAGTAGACGACGACCTGCCATAGTAGAGGCAGCGAATACTAACTGCTAAAGCTCGATTGAACCTGACCTACCGAGAGTCGACCGGAGATGCGATCGAGCAAGATACTGAGCATACTAGAGTTAGCCGGCGTGCGACCGCTCCTCATACCGCACCCCCGACTAAGGAATAAGCCAAGACTGCTTAATACGAGGCGCTGCTCTTATCAATGAAGAAGCAGATGGAAGAGCTACACGCGGCGATGAACATTATGTTCGACGTTTGGAAGACGTGCTGATGTGCTGACTGGATCGCGTCTGCTGGCCATGTTCTGGGTACGCACCCTATTTCTGTCAGGCTGTCCCAGGACAAGGAATGCCATCTCTCCATCTCTATTGACCGTGAGCAAGCTACCCGCCCTTGCCGATGGGCACGCGGATGCACGGCCTGTATTTCCCCCAACAGCTGCAGCAACCCGTGGTGTTTCCGCTACCACGCATTCTGAATGAGCTGTGAGATCTACCCTTTCGGATCTGTGACAGATATGATTTGGCATTTGCCTCTCTTTTCCTATGTATGTAGATTGAATACTAAGTCGAGTACCTTGCTGGCGAACGTCATTCAACATCATCGAAGCCTTCGTGGGACACCACGACGTAAATGCAACTCATGTTCTGGATACATAAGAATGGCAGAGTAGCATGCAACTGGGCTTTACCTTGTGTAAATCTTCATTCATGTTTGCCTCGCAGCTGGAGGTGGAACGTAAATCCACTGGCCCTCGATATTTTCGCCCCCTTGGTGATCAAGCCAGCAGTCCCCACAGCCACATTTCGAACTCTTAATCGTTCAGACCTTGCGGTATCTTGTTGGCCTCTTGTGTCGATGTCTTTGATGTGCCATACTGTACAGCAAGCACATGGCTAGCGGGGATCTGAGCGTATCTCTGTAACCTGAGCATTTCCGGGCTGTCGCTTCCCCCTACACAAAGTCTCTCGGCAGACGCCCGCTCAGCGAAAACCCTGGCTCTTGCTTCATCACTGTTGGCAATCACGATCTGCAATGCATCATAATATAGCCGTGGGATTCTTGCGTCGATGAATCCCTCCTCCTCCATGAGATGCTTCATCTCGTGCGCCATTCGGACATATGGAAGGGGAGTTGATGCAATACCTATGCCATCTCCAACTCGCTCATCAAG